CATCAGAACCATCATTCTAGAGGCGCCACCGGAGTTCATTCAAGCTGATCAAGAGCTACTTCTTGAAGGAAAGGATTACAAGCAAAAGACTCCTCAACCCCCAGCATCAAATATCAAGTTGCCAAGAAGACATCAAAGGGGAGATTGCAAGGATTTCTTCATAAAGCCTTCTCAAGAAGTCAAGTTCAAAGACAAAGGAAACTGAATAACAACAAAGACAAAGATATTTGCGCTGCAATGCTGATACAACATGATTGAACACCAAGGGGGAGATTGTTGGGAATATTTTATGGTGTCCAATCTAATTAAATATCTTTGTTTTTGTGTAGTTATTAATTAAATGTGTAATATGGGCCACAAATGTATTTCAGCCCATTAGCCCACTTGTAAGCCTTAAGTTAGACATCCTTATGTATAAAAGGATGCTAACTTAAGCAAACCCTAACTCTCACACAAGCCTCACGCACATTAACGCTCATATCTTTCTGAGAGCTTATACGGTATATGGTAGAGGGAGTTCATCGCTAAAATATTTTTCTATCATTCTGTGATTCTCTCCTTCTATTATATTGTATGATTGTTGATGATTTTGGGACTAAAAGTTGTCTTTCTCATGGTTTGGAAGAATGGAAGGGCTTTTTCTGCTGACTTAGAAAGAAAGCGATTGAGGGCTGCTAGGCGGCCCGTCAACCTTTGGACTTATTTGACGTTGCGTGGAGGCTCCATGTTGATGATGGCATGTATTTTCTCAGGGTTGGCCTCAATACCTCTTCAGTTTACCATGTAGCTAAGAAACTTGCATCCTTGCACGCCGAAGGTGCATTTCTTCGGGTTCAATCAGAGATTCAATTTTTTCATGATGGCAAAAATTTCCCGGAGGTCCTCGGCATGGCTGGTTGATCGTTTGCTTTTGACGATCATGTCGTCTACATATGCCTCCATGGTGTGCCCTAGGACGGTTTGAAAGACTCTGGCCACCATCCGGGTGTAAGTGGCGCCTGAATTCTTTAAGCCGAAGGCCATAACTAGATAGCAGAAGATGCTTTCGGGAGTCATGAAGGTTGTTTTCTCCGCATCTTCCTCGTGCATGTAGATTTGGTGATACCCTCAGAAGGCATCGATGAATGACATGATTTCACAACCCGCCGTTTCATCCACCAGCTGGTCAATGTTTGGTAGAGGGAAAGGATCCATAGGGCATGCCTTATTCAGATCTATGTAATCCACGCACATGCGAAAGGAGGGTGGTTTTTGTGCAATGACCACGTTAGGCAACCACGAAGGGTATTTCACCTCCCGGATGTGTTTGATTGAGAGGAGCATAGTGACCTCTTTATTTATGAAGTCCCTCCTATCGGCCGAGAGGGGCCTTCTTCTATGTTGCACAGGTTTCGAGGAAGGGTCCATCGCCAGACGATGAGTGATTACTCTTCGACTGATTCCAGGCATGTCCTCTGGCCCCATGCAAAAACAATGGAGTAGGCGTAGAGGGCCTCCGTAATTCCAGACTTCAAGTATTCGAGGAGCTTGACTCCAATCTTTACGACTCTCTCCGGCTTTGCCGGGTCGAGCGCAAAGTCTTCCACTTCTTCGGCTGGTTCCGCCCTTGGCCTCTTCTCTTCTTCTTCTACTGTTCCGGCGATGGTGTCTACACGGAACTCAGCCTTACTAACCTTTTTTGTTATTTGGAGGTAGCAGGCGCGTGAGAGCTTCTGGTTTCCCTTCGAGTACCCGATTCCCCCCTCGGCTGGGAACTTAAGGCACAAGTGCTTCATGGAGATGATTGCCTCCAGGTCCTCGAGGGCAAGCCGACCGAGGATGATGTTGTGGGCGCAGTCGATGTTGACGACGATGAACTCCACTTCGAGCTTGACTCTATGGAGCCCATCGCCAAAGAGTACCAGGATGGATATTACCCCCTCGTTGTCTATGGTGTCTCCAATGAAGCCAGACAGAGGGGTCTGGATGGGACGAAGGGATCCCCTCTCCAAATGTAGCTCCTTGAACGTGTTGAGGTACATTACGTTGACGGAACTATCCGTGTCAACGTAAGTTCTGTGAATAATGGTGTTATTGATCTCACTCTGGATCACTAACGCGTCCCTGTGGGGGAAGGAACCTGGGGAGATCTGTGTTGGTGAATATAATGGGCTCCTCCCTCAACTGCTTTACGGGGGGCATATGAGTGACTTCCCCTACGTAAAGGGATTGCGCCCACTTCTTTCTTTGGCTGGTGGGGTCTCCTCTCGTGTTTCCGCCGGTGATCATGTGGATGTGGCGCTTCTTTTCCTGACACTGGTTGTACCCTTCTTCCTCGATGAGGTTGCCAATCTCCCTTTTCTTACCCTTCGGGTCGCCGAGGGTGGTGGTGTTTGGATTAACCCAGGTGTTTGCTTTCGCAGGGGGGCCTTGATGAGGGTACCCCCTTATGAATTGGGATAGGTGGCTCCGTTCTATCAACTTCTCTATGTCTGCCTTCAGCTGGTGGCAGTCATCGGTTCGGTGGCCTTGGTGCCGGTGGAAACGGCAGTAGGGTTCCTCGGGGTTGATGGTGTAGACCAACCGGGGCACCCTAGAATCTCGCTCCACTAGCCCCCTCTCCTTGGCGTAGTCTAGAATGATGTTGATGGGGTGTGTCAGGGGGGGTCCGAGGGTGCTCCAGAAGAACGGGTTGGGCCTAGGCCTTTGGGTTGTTCTTGTAACCTCCCCCGGACTTGGCTTGGCCATGCCGGGGGAAATCACCTGAGGGGGCTGGACCTTTGGATTGGTGGAATGGAGCTCCCGGCCCCCGGTGGTTCTTGTCATCTGCCCTAGGACGTTGTTGCTCGGGGTTCTGGTGGCACTTTTCCACCTCCTCGGCCTCTGCGTACCGGTCTCCCCGCTGGAGGGCCTTTGTGTAGTCGCGAGGGGGTTCAATGATGAGGCTCCTTGAGAAGTTCCCGATGCGGAGAACCGTCTGTAGGAGAGCCATAAGGGTCCCGTCGTCGGCATCGTCGACTTTATCCATCTCCAACCTCTAGGGTTCTAAGAAATCCCGGAGGGTATCCTCTTTCTGTTGCCTTACCGTCAGCAAGTGGGAGAACTGTTTCCTTGACCGGTGCCTTCCAGCAAATTGTGTCAAGAAACGTTGGGCGAGTTCTTGCTATGAGTCAATGCTTCCCTCGGGCAGTCGGTTGAACCATTCGTACATCAGTCCTTCCAGGGTGGAAAGGAACCAGCGCCACAAATATTCGTCCGACGCCCCCATCATCATCATGTTGTTTTGGTACCTGCTATAGTGTTCCTGGGGATCAGTCTTCCCCTCATAAGGCTTTATGGGTTGTCCCCGATACTTACTAGGGATATGAGCTGCCAATACCCTCGGGGTGAAAGGCGTCTTCGTGCGAAGCTGGATGACAGGTTCGCCGGAGCCCTCGGCCAGTTTCCTCTGTATCTCGTCCACCCTAGCCAGCATGGCAGCGTATTTGGGTCCGCCTGTGAAGCGGAATCCGTCGTTTGGGCCTGACGGGCCTCCATCTCGTCGAGGTGGCGCTGGAGGGCCTCAATAATCTCGTCCCTGGGGTCCTTCGGGAGGGCCTCCCCCCCTGCGATTGTGTGCAGGCGAAGTGAGCTTGGTTGATTTGGTGCCTGGCATCATCAGTATCGAGCAGTCCCTTGCCCTTGTCCCGAGGGGGACGCCTCTTGTCTGCCCTCGAGACGGATCCTCCGCTCTCTTTAGGTCTTTGGAACGCCTTACCACTGAGGCGGTCTTGGACCCCTCGACGATGTTGCACTCCTCTGAGCCTCTCGAGGGCGGATGTTCGGGGCCTATCCTTGTTCGCATCGCGCTGGTCTCGGGACTGGACTTCCATGGAGGCGGTGTCCTGAGCCACGACCCCCTCGTTGTTTCCGGTTCTTGGAATCGGGCGTACGAGGGGGGTGGAGGTGGTGGAAAAGGGATGGCATTTTCCCCAACTTGTGCCTGGGTCGGCACAAGTGCCCCGAAGGCGCCAGGATTGTGAGTGAGAGTGTGGATGAAGGCTGAAAAAGCCGACTGCGCGTCAATAGTGAGGACCGGGGGGCTCACTTGGTTTTCGCTCCGGTCCTTCCTCCAGGTCTCGATGTCGAGGCGGGCATCAGGAGCGTTCTTCTGGAGCTGAAGACGCAGGTCAGCAGCGACCTGCTCCATTTCAGCTAGGGCCCCGCCTTCGGGAGCTATGTTTGAGGCTTCAGCGATGTTGATTTCACTGATGCCCAGATTCTTTTCTTCAAGGGACTTGGACTGGGCACGAGTGGCTCTTCTCATTTTGATAGGTATTTTTGTGTTTGGTGAGGGAGAGAGTTTCTTAATTGATTGTTCGGACTTCTCAACGAGAGCACCAAATCATGGATAGTGTACCCGGGGTAGCTTATCCGAGGGGTTATTACCATGAATAACTTAGAGAGAAGTCAGAACAATAAGTAAGAGAGAGTAGGTATTCGATATATCAATTGTGTCATTCCATAAATGCTAGATCTAATCAGCGAGGGTACATGTGTCAAGCAACTAGCGGTGGAGGGTCATCTCAACCAGAGTGGCGTCGACCATAGCACGTGGCCGCATTCAATGCGGTGGTTTGGGTGTGACGTTTTACTTGATGCATCCATTCACTGCATGTGGGAGAGGAGATCTGGTCGAGAATAGTGCCTTCGGCCGTACCTACCGGGGCCGAAGGCCCTGCACACCGAGGTCCCTAGTGCCGAAGGCTCTTATTTCATGCCCTGCTCTTTGGTGATGTTTCTGGACCATGTTTCCTGAGTTTAAAAACCTTCGACGCGTGGGGCTGAAGGCACATCATGCGTATGTTTGTTGGGCTTGACCCATTTGGACTTGTTGGACCAGATTGTTGTAGTGGAAGTATGTGGGTCAGGGGTTCCTGGACCATATATTCCATCACTTATTTTTGCCATTTTTCAACATTTGTTGCTACCATACCCAACGAACCATATTAAACAGATCAAAACAGACTCAGATCAGATTTTGACAATTTTAAAGTACATACTTAAATTAACCATACTAAATTGGACAAATCAGAAAATTTCAGTTGTATTAAAAACATCGTATATAGAGCTGTCATATGTACAAAAAAACTACGGAGTATAATTCCACAAGAAATTCAGTTATTAACGAAAGAAGTAAAAACAGAAACAGAAATATAACACACACAAATAAACTAGTAAACATTGCTTCTATTTTGGCCTATCTACTATAGAGAGCTTTACAGAACAGAACTAATCCTTGGCGGTGCCTCCCTACTAAGACTATCATCACATTTGAGTCTGTCAACTAACATATCCAATGCTTCTTTCATCCAAATCTGTTGGCAAACTTCTCTAGCGTCATCAACGCACATCTGCAGGGCACGAACATATAAATAAGTTTTTGTCTTCTAAATAACTACTCAGTTAATACTTTAATAGGGAGTAAGTTTTTTAAGAGGACTAGATAAATGTAGAAGTAGTTACCCAGGCTCTTGTTCGAAGATTCTTCTCTGGCCAGAGATCAAGTTGTTGTGTGACCAGCAAAGGAAACATGTAGCCTTCGTGATAGATAGCCCGGCTCTTGCTCATGAAGCTCCATTTCCCCAACTCTCGCTCAAGAAGGCCAACAACTCCGGCTTCTTCAAAAGATTCACGAGAAGCTGCTTCTTCAATAGATTCATCTAACTCCCAACCTCCCTTTGGAAACATCATTGCTTCTCGGCCTTTCTTCAGTGAACTTATCATCAGGACCTCCACCTCACCTCCCTTTCTTGAGAATCTGTAAGGCACGCATCTACATTGCAGCAAATGAAGTCAGGAAACATCCCATATACAAAGAAAAGAAATCATAAAGTCATGAACTGAATCCCGTGAATGGTGAAGAAATTGCATTTTAGTCAACTTCATTATTATGTTAAGGTGTCAACTCTGCTACCTTTCTAAAAAATGGAATACCGTACCTATCATTCAATTGATTGGACCACATCACTTTATCATATTTAATTTAGATTTAAATAATTCAACTGATACATTTTCATTGGTCCATGTGGGCAAAGATATGGTACTGGTACCATAGAATCTACCTTATGTTAAATGAAGAAAATGTCAATTTGGTTAATAATCACGGAGCATGTATATAATGGGTTGTTTTGAAAAGGGCGTCTTAGTAAATAGTTGTTCAACCCTAACGTTTTTGAATAAAATAGCTGAAATGAAAATCTATATAAATAGAAGAATTTTGAGTAAGTGTTTTAAAATTTAACATTTTCTAGTAAGTGTTATAGCAAATCAGCTAAATTAACAAATATTTATTTCAACACATTAATTTAGTATGTTAGTCAAAACCACTTATTGACAACGCGTTAACATAATCTACTATCTGTTAACGGCTGAATGACACATGCTTATTGCTTGTGATTTTGGCAATTGAGTGACTACGGACAGAATGAAGCATGAATTTGAAGGAATAAAGCATACATACCCTACGACGAGGCGGTGACCTTTGTTGTAGCGCTGCAAATTCCTTCCCGTCCGAGAAACCGAAATCGCCATTTGTAAATTCTGTTTCCTGAAATGGCGTTTTGAATGGAAAACTCGTAAGATCGAATCGGCTTTTTTGTATGGTTTGGTCTAAATTTAGTATGGATTTGTTTTTCCTGATTGAGGAGGAAATTGGAATGAATGGAGCAGGGGGAAACACTCGGCTCGGCCTTTAAATAAATCATGAATGTGGAATTTGATTCCTTTCTTAAGGCAGAGGATTGAAACGCGTCGCTTTAGAGTTTAAACTGCGGCCCATGTAATAACAACTTGTTTTCTTTCTTTCTCATCATCATCCACGGATTTTGTCAACGCAAAACTAATTGCTCAATGAAACGGATTAATTTACTACTAGTAATAAAATTATACTCCTTAATAAATACTCCTTCCGTCCTGCAAAATAGTTTCCACCTTCATTTTTAGATCGTCCTAAAAAATAGTTCATATTTCCATTTTTTAAGGATCAAATTGATTTAATTTTTTCTTACTCAATCACAATCATATATTTTTACATTGTTCTTACTTTCTTAAACTCCGATCCAAGTCAATGTGAGAAATATTTTATAAGACGGTGTAGTAGTATATGTGTAATTAGAAAGGAATAGGAAGAAGAGAAAGTCAAAAAGAAAGAGATCAAAAGATAACCACGTTGGTGAATTCCCTAAATAGGAGTAAAAAAGTTTTGAAATTCCAAAATAGAACTATCATGTTTTTTATTCTTTGAATAAGAGTAATTTTTTGCAAAGTTTGGCATTACTAGGCTTTAATACATGGCATTTTTTTAAAATTTGGCAGTTTACTCCTATTCAGGGAATAAAAAACATGATACTCCTATTTCGGAATTGGGGTTATTTCCTGAATATTACTAAATTAATGCTGATTTCCAAAAATTTGACCAATTTTACATTTGAAAAAAAAAGTGATTAAAATAAAGTGACAGCCAAATATTCATGTCATTATCCCATTTTCATATCACTATAGGATTTCACTCTTGCCGCCGCTCGTGTCACTGTCACCATCGCCCGTGTCACTGCATCCATCGCATGTGTCATTGTTGCCGCCGCCGGTGTCACTACCGCCGCCGGTGTCACTGTAACCATCGCGTCGGCCACAGTGACACAAATTTAATCCGACTACCGCCCTCCAGTCAATTACCACCGCCTCCCCACCGGTGACAATCACACCCCAACCCCTACCCCACAACCACTGCCATTGACATGCCCCTAGCCCCACACACCAGCTCCCCCAGCCCCCAGCCCCATTCCCCAGCCCTACTCCCTGTCCCCAGTCTCCCTCTCCCCTGCTCCACTGCCCCGCCTCCTGTCCTCCCCAGGCCTCTCACCTGCTAGTTTGCCAGCCACCATGGAATCCTCACCCCAGAACACCCTCTCCCAGCCCCGCCCAGCAAAGGCGCACCCCATTCCCACCAAAAAAACGTCGCACACCACCTTCCAGCCTCGCCCCAACAAATTCGGTCTGAAACTCAGATCTGAAAACAAGAGCATCTCCAATGCTATAGTGTGCATGGTGCACATGTGACATGAAAGATAACCACATAAATATTAGCAAATAAATTATCTCTCTCCTTATTTGAATGATTTTATATAATTTTGGTAATTTTTCCCCTGCAATGTCAACTGCAATGTCAACATCTAGACGATCTCCTTGACATTGTGGAGGAAAACTTACCAAAATTGCATAAAAACATTCAAATAAGGAGATAAAGAATTTATTTAATAATATTTATGTGGCTATCTCTCATGCCACATGAACGCCGTGCACATTGTAGCATTTGGAGATGCTCTAAGAAGGAAAACCCCCCAAAATCGATTTGCAATTCCAAAAGAAAGAAGAAAAAGGAGCCATGGCTGTGCGAAAGAGGAGCGCCGGATTGGAGGAGGAACGCTTGATTTGGTGAGGCAACCCTGTGCGGCGAGTCCCAAGTGAGGCAGCATGTGCGACGAGTCCAAGGTGCGGTGAGGTAAGGCGGAGGCGGAGGCTGAGGCGAGGCCGGCGGGTTGGCAGATGAAGGAAGGTTGCTCTGAGAAGAAGGGAAGAAATGCACGCTGGGAAGATGCACAAAAGAGAGAGGCACGGATAAATTGTTCTGGGTCACCAGGTCACTTTTGTGGAATTTTTAAAACTGGTCATATTTTTGTCCAATGGAAGTTGAGAAGTAATATTGATGCCATTCTTTCTTTGGAATTTCAAAACGTTTTTGCTCATGTTTAGAGCAATTTCTATAACCACATCAGTAAAATGCCGACCATTTACGATCTCTCTCCCCTCCCCACAATTATACTAATGTGTATCACATGGGGGCACTCAAATGGTTAAGGAGTAAAAAATGGAACAATAAGGATGATTTTACTTGTTCTCACAAAACATGTTCATTTGATAAACTTTTCTTTTATGTCCTTTTTGGTTGGAGGGTTTTGGAGGGGAGGGGAGGAAACTGAGGGATTTGTGTGTGTTTGGTTGAAGGAAATAGGGGGGAAGAGGAGGAAAGTGGAAGACTTTCAAAATCCTCCACTTCCTCCCATTCTAAACCCCCCAAATCGGGGTATTTTGAAGGAAACGTGTTGATAACCACAAACTGTCCATCTCCTGCGTGAATGAACAAAACGTTATAATATAAAAAGGAAAAAAACAAAAACCTTTTGAAAAATTAAAAAATTTAAAAATTTAAAAATTTAAAGATTAAAAAATTTAAAAATTAAAAAAATAAAATTTTAAAATTAAAAAATTTAAAAATTATAAATTAAAAAATTTAAAGATTAAAAATAAAAAAAATTTAAAAATACAAATTAAAAATTAAAAATTCCAAACTGAAAAAAGAAAAATTATAAAATTAAAAAAGTAAAAAATCAAATAAAATAAAATTATTACTCATGACCATATGAGTAATATTCACAATAGTTAGACTTGTATCTATTTTTTTAAGTAAGCTATCAAATAAAAGTAAATTGCGAAAATATTTTCATTAAACCTTTCCTCCTATTTCCTCTAACAAAACACAAATTTTTATCAAAATCATTCCTTCCCCTTCCCTTCCCTTCCCTCCCCTCCTTTGAACCAAACAAGGCCTTAGGAGTGAGTTAGCAACATTAGTTATAAGACATTCACATTTGATGCATTAAACCTTAGTTTTGGCCATGGAACAGTTAAGTATGTATCGGGGGATCCGCCCCAAGTATTTAGTATGAGGAAATAGTAAACGGACAAGTCGGCAACAATTTCGATCTAGGCCAAATCAAAACCACAAAGTTGGACCAATCAAATTCGGCCAAACGCAACGGCGCGTCGGCGTCTAGCTTCCTTACCACTTGCGCCTGTTTGGATGACGACGAACCCGTCCATTTTGATGACCAATCCATTTTGGTTTGGAACATTATTTCATTTTCATCAACCAAATAAGACACAAATATCCATTTCACACGACTACATTAATTCTAGAACAAAGCAAATCAAGTAAAGGGATTTAAGTAGAGTAGATGCCACAAAATAACCTCCCTCCTTCACATGGGAGCTAGGGCATTTCAAGTTTGAATGGTACGTGTCAAATAGGGCCAAACATTGTTATGCTTGAGATCACACACAAATAAACAGATCCAATCACGAGTTAATCATTTCAAAATAAAAGTTTAGACAATTGAAAAAAGAAAAGTAGTTAGAATCTAATTGGACACAGAGAATATAGTAGAAAGTGGTAATGGTTGATAATGTTTGTCACTGCTTAGACATTGGTTGACACTATTTTACACAATTTTGTTTGTCAAAAAAAAAGGACTTTTATTTAAGGACGGTCTAAAAAAAACGTGCTCTTGTTTAGGGATGGATTTATCAAATGCCGACAAACCAACCTTTCCAAAAAGAAGTCTTATTTTATGGGATTATTCGAGTTCCTTGGAGTAGAGTCTTATTTTATGGGATTATATCTCCGTAAAATTGCCCATTACTCAAATACGAGTATGACTTTCTTAAGCCTGGATGTGATATTATTTGTTTACAGTGTAGTGTATACATGGATGATATATACTTTCTACCTTCTTTTATTAATTGCAACAATCCATTTTTCACGTTTGCCAACGCACAAATTTGATCATTAATATCGTTCATTCCTTATTAGTAAAAAATTAAAAAATTCAAAATTTGAAAATTTAAAATGAGAGGAATTTAAAAATATTTTGTAAAAATTTAATTTGTAATATATCAAAAAAAAATAGTCAAAGTTGAATATGTGAACAGCAGAACAGTGGAAAAAGTATAATGTTACAATTAAAAGAGAACGGATGTAGTATATGCTTATTCAGTAAGTTGTTTTCACTCAATTACTAAGACAATTTGCAGTGGTGAGGAGATCAAAATGTTAAAAAAATGAACTCCACCAATATGAAAATACTGCTTAGACCGTTATTTACATGCATTCCATCACCGTAAATAAAATACACTCAGCATATTCTTATCTATGTCAATTTAGTAAAAAAATTAATTAAATTATTATAAGTAATGTTTTCCTTTTAATTTTTTCCCTGAATAATTGTGTAATAAAAAATATACATTTCAATGTAAAATAAATAAATTTCATTAGTTTTTTTATGTTTTTCGATTATCAAAAAATAAATTTAGTTCATGTAAAGTTCTATTATGGAATATTAATGTCATATGAAATATCATAAACAAATCATGAATTGTGATATATTTTTTGAAATCTTTGACTAACAAATAAAAAAGTTATAAGAAGAGTTCAAAAAAATTGATGTTATAATGACGTAGCAATGAAGAAGGGGTGGCATCATCTCTACATCCATGCAATGCTAGGGGTGGACCGAACGGGGCCGAATCGGCCCATGAACCGGACCGGCCAGCTACTGTGCGGGCCCGGACCGGACCGGGACCGGATGGCCGGTTCCGGGCTTTAGCCCAGGTTGGGCGGGCCTGGCGGGCCGGGCTCAGGCCCTGTTTTTCTTGAATCGGCCCGGGCGATCCGAGTCGGGCTCTGTTCATTTTTTATTATTTTTTCAATTTTTTTCTTTTCCTTGAGTAGAGCAGGGTGTTTTGGGGAGGTTTGAGGGGTGGGGTGAGGGGGGGTCGGGGTTAATTAGAAAGCAAAAAAAAATATACATTGGACCGGCACGGAGTCCGGTATCAACCCGGGCCGGTTCCGAGCTCAACATCTGGAAAAAA